GAGGTTACTGTCTTGGAGCTACTGAGCTATATTAATAGAAGACTGATGATGACAGAGTAAGCAGGTAAAAATCATACACAGGACCCAGTTTCAGCTTTAGTATTAACCCAAACACTTGTGATCAATAAGTAATCTCTTTACATGTTCTTCCAGAAAAATATACACAAGTACTGATTAGTTCACAGTAATACTGGATCTTATCTAATAGAACTTTAAGGTTCTTTTAGGGTCCTGTTATAATGAAACTCAAAACAAGTAATTTTTAGGCTGTCAAAATGTTCAACCTCTGATGCAAGGTGTTAATAATAAGGCCAAGGTTGGAGATACAATCTATTAGCTTCACTTTGTTCTGTAGCTATAGTCCACTAACACAGCCAGCTGCCTCAGAAGTCATGCCAAGAGTCAAAAGGAGAATTGGTAAGAATGTATCATTGGATACAAATCCATCACCACTACTGAAAAAAACAACCTGAAAGGATACTTCCTACTGGCATCCCTTCTAAGTGACCTTGGGGCTGAAACCAGAAATGAGACCTTCCAGTGAAATGTAGTTTAGAAATCTTAAAAACTCCTACCTCTTCGGGCTATGTGTGTCTGCGTACAAGCATGCTAAGTTGCTTGAGTTGTATCCGACTTTTGGCAACTGTATGGGCTGTAGGTGGCCAGGCTCCTCTGTCCATGGGATTCTCCAGGCAAGAACACTGGAGTGGGTTGCTATGCCCTCCTCCAGGGGATCTTCCTGACCCAGGCATCAAACCTGCGGCTCCTGAGGCTCCTGCACTGCCAGCAGATTATTTACTGCTGAGCCACCAAGGAAGCCCCTTCAAGCTATAAGTATTATCAAAATTCATAGAAACAAAAATCCACGATCTGCTGTTTTCAAATGATGATAATTTTAAGGAAGACATGCAATTCAAAAATGTAGCTGGAGCTACTTTTTTTATTATATTATGTGCACCTCCTCTTTGTTTTAATCTAAGTTAAATGTAAGTATAAGATGCTCATAAATGCTAATGAATTTATACACTAGAAATCAACTGATAACCAAAAATAATCTGAGACAAATGGTGCCCAGAGAGATTAGAAAAAGAGGATATATCGGATGAAAGAAACACATTAAATAAAATAACTGACAAACTAAATTCGAGAGAAAAAGACCGAAGTAATGAAGACAGATGGAAAATCCAGTAGGCTAAGGAAACAATGTTGTGAAGACAAAGGAGTGGGCACAGAAAAGATAATGCAGACAATAAAAACGCCCAGGGTGTCAAGAGGCTTCACGCAAGGGCACCGTCAGCTTGAACCTGAAGTCGTGACTTTACAGGCCACATTTCACTTTGGAAAACTTTTTAATTCTTTGAGTAGAAACAACAAATAAGACAAGTGTTGAACATTCAGTCAATAGTTCTTTATTCGATCATTCGCTGGGTGCCTCTTTAGCACTAGATGTAGTAGCATGATTGTGCACAGTAAAAAATCATCAAAGAAACCCACTTAAGCAGAGCATTCTCTAAGTGTACAAGCTGAAAGATGGAAAAAAACAGCAAGGAGGCAGATGAGGACCAATATAGTGTTAAATTCTGCTGTGTAACTTGTACAATTCTGAAGCTCAGGTCTACCCCAGCTACCATATCTAGCCCACAGTCTTGTTTTATCAATAGTCCTACCACAAAAATCAGAGCAAGACCAACTGGAATACAGTCAGATAATCAGTCTGCTGAAATGAATGTGTTCACAACTCTCTCTCTGCGGGGCAAGACATGTGTGATGAACGGACAACAGCAGGATATACAAGAGCTGCTGAACAGTTCACTCAAGCAAGCAACACCAAGCAGGACTCACCCAAAGAAAATTAGCTTAAGCATGCAAGATGACATAATTGCTAATCAGCTATAGCTGATAGAAACTACTATCTGAATATCATATTAAGAATGAAATTGCTCTTCTGTGAACAAAGATACCAGGCTTATCATGGCCTAGAAGGCAAAGCTAGAAGCAATAGCAATTCTGAGCTGACTACAGATTTATAGATATACATAGACTGTGGATATATAGATATTAAAACTCAACATATATTTAGTGTGAACTACAGGTCCCACAAGAGCCAATCACTCAACCTAAATGGAGGGTGTCATTTTCCAAAATACAATGGGCAACCACATGGGTTACAGTTTATATTTTTCCTACTTCCCAGAAGAGTATAAAACATTTTACAAATTAACACATTTAAACATAATATTTAAGCTGGCTCCATCTAATAGTAGGAGTATTGAAGGAATTAAAAATGAATATATTACCAACTTCAGTAATAAATTTGACTGAATACTTTTTGCCAAATTGAAGATGCAGCTACATAATTTCCACTTTGAAACAAACAGAAAGCATAAGCAAAAATTTCCTTGAAACTAAACTCAGCAGAAATTTGGTAATCTACTGTGCAAATCACAATCTGTAATACACTGAATAGAATTATTAACTATTATTTTGCAGGAGATATCAAAGTAATTTCACAAGGCAATTTTCCTAACTGAAAATTAGAAAATGAGAATTTTCTAATTGTATAAAATGAAAGCAGAACAACAATTTAAGAATGAGATTTCTGCAAAAGACTGAGATAATACAGTTCAAACACCAGTATTTCACTTAATCATAGGATAACAAAAGTAATAGACTTAATCTGGGTAGTTAGGTAACATTGCTGTTGTAACCATAGTTGTCCACCCTCCCTCTGTATTAGAATCACCTGTGATCGACTGTTACTCTAAATTAAGTTTAAAATTAAGCTTTCTAACAAGTGTCTACAATCCAGCTATCTTATAATGTTGGTTAAAGAATGCCACAAATAGGTGTAATGATTCACAAAATAAAAGATATGAAAGAATTTGTAGGATGAATTCTATAGACAATCAATAAATGTTATTTTTCTACTCTTCCAAAGAACAGGAATGAAATCCGCATTTTCCTGTGAAAGTAGAGCCATACTTATAGTTTTGTCTGGAGAGGATGAAGACAACAAACTCCAGTAAAAATTCAAGGAATTCTTAACTTTCCCATATTCATATGTAACCTAATGTTTCATTAAGAAGTTAAAATATATACATATAAACTTTGAAGTTGTTGGGCTTTTTCTTTTAGTAAATAAATGTGCTTAATTGGCCAAACTAACCTAGTTGTGTGATATAAACATTTAGTGTAATTTCAAAAATTCAAAACAAAGGTTATTATCACTAAGATACAGAACTGCGAAGATTTTGAAAGCTTAAAGGGACCTTACAGATATTATAGATAAACTCTTCCTTCCCCCGCCTTATTTCAAAATATGAGAAAACTGCAGACTGGAGAGGTTAAATGAGAGGCCAAATGACTGACTGAGCCTAGGACTAAAGAGCCTGAGCCTCCTGACAGCCAGCACTTTTCTTTCTAACAAGACTATTCTGCCTCCTCTGGTTCCAAACCCTCCCTTGGATGAGATTACTTCAGCTGTCTCATTTGTTTTCTTTACATTCTATCCTGAGCCATAGTTGTCATTTGTAACTTTCCCATAAAATTATAATTTTCCAAACTGTTTTCTGAATGATTTTACAGCTGAGTGTAAATCTCCCAGCCTTCTAAATTTCATTGCAGGCAGATTCTTTACCTTCCGAGGCACCAGGGAAGACCTAAATTTCAGAGCAATACACCTAAAAAACACCTGAAACAAATGCACACTAGTGGTACATCATCAAATGCAAAATCACTCTCCAGCATAATTCCATCTACAAATTCAAAAAAAAATTGTATTAAGCACCTCTGACAGGCAGGGTCTCTGTTAAATGATGGTGATATGAAAACCAATACGACATGATCCTTGTCCTCAAGTGGCTTATAGTCTAGTAGGGAAGACAATTAAACCAAACTGTGCTTGTTAAAAACACTATAAAAGGGGTGGGCAGGTGGCTATGAACATTTAGGAAGAGAATCTAATAAAGAAAGGTGGGATCAGGTAATGATTGACTTCCCAATGAGGTCCTGAAAAGCAACAGCGAAAACAATGGCAGTATCACCCGTATTTAGCAGAGTCCAAAAAGAATTAAAAGACAGCAACGCCAATTTATTCACGGGGGAGAAAAATGAAACATGTGCTCGTTTACAGCGGTTTAGTATCTACTAACTAACAATAACCAGACTTTTTCAAAGGAAAAGAACCTGATTTCAACGTAGCAGTATAACAATACAGGTCTTCCATTATTTCTCAATAAAATTTAAATTACTATTTTAAAACAAAAGGAAAAAGCTCCCTTTGAAACACGTCAAGTTAACAGTCACGACAACTGTGTGAAAAGCTGCATAGTAAAATCCTCCTCAAAATTCCAGGGGGAAAAAATCCCAGCTGATACAAGATGGAAACCTGGAGAACCGGTAGCCCAGGATGGACGAAAACTACCCCTCATTTCTCAGGAATAACAACGTTCAGCTGGAAGATTCACGGTGGGGGTACTCTTGCTTACATTTTAAGGCAAAGTTGGGGGGGAGGGCGAAGATCAGAATACAAGGAAACCGTAAAAGAGGTAAGTGAAGTGACGGGAAAGAGCGGAAAAGGTGGGCAAGAACCCAGAAACCGAAGACTGAAAGACGGATGGAAAAAAGACAGGAGAACGGTGTCAGAAAAGAGTCGTCCAGAGAAAGGGAGGAGACGGGGGGGAGGGGACAGAGTCGGGGAAGGGCTGTCCAAAAAATGAATTAAGAGGGAAATGAGAGATCAGAGGATGTAGTGGGCCGAGGCGTCCTCAGCCGCGGATAAAAACGCCAGAATACAAAAGGTACGGCCGATGAAGAACCGCAGAGTTTTAACCTCCTCTTTCCCAGCCTCTAACCCGCAGAGGAAGGAAGAAGTTGTTCCCAGCCTGAGGGAAGGAATTCCGGCGCAGCTTCCCAGTCCCGGAGCCCGCGAGGTGGGGCGCCGTCCAGCGGGTCCCAGGCCCCTCTTCATCCCCCTCGGACGCTCGGCGTGCCCCGGTTACCTGGACAGGGAGTCCACGCTGGGCGGCCGTGCTACTGCTGGCTGGGAGCCAAGGCTCTCGCAACTCGAGCTCTTCTCCATGGCGCGGCGCGGGGGCAGCGGGAGGAAAAGCCTGCGGCGACCGCCGCGGCTGCCCGGCGGGAGGAGCTGAGGGCGGGGTGCGACGGGCAGGGTCCGAGCTCAGGCCCGCGCCGGCCCGGCAGGGAGACCGGAAGCGGCCATGTTCCCCCAGCCTGCACCGCGCGGGCGCTGCCGGGAGCCGGGGGCGCCGCCCGCCCTCGCGCGCCTCGCACGCCGCCACCCAGCGCGGCCGCCGGGGGCCAGGGAGCGCGTGACGGCGCCTGAGGGCCGAGGCTCCTCTGAGGCCGGCGGGCTGCAGGAGGAGGGGCCGTTTTAAAAATCTTCAAGGAAGCAGCGAGTACTACGGACGAGGGTCTGAAGAGAGAAACAAGGACCTTAACGACGGGGACGATTGTGACGGAAATGTGGGGGTCGGGGGAGAGGACAGAATAATAAAGGATGTGGGCAGACCGTAGGATGAGAGGCGTGGGGGGATGAGGAAGGGAGGACCTGAACACAGGTTCGCGTAAAGGATGAGGCTGTGAGAGGTGAGATGGCGAAATACTCATCAGGTCAAGGGCTGAAAATGATCAAGTAATTGCTCATTAAATCATAATTAAAACCTACTTTAAAGTTAGTGGATTCAAATTCTGCCACTCTCAGTTATTTGCAGTGTAATCCAAGGCATGGAACATTAACTTTTTAATCTGTAAAACAGGAAAACTAGCTTCACAGATTAGATGAGTTAATACATCTTAAACATTTAAAACAATCCTTCATACATAGAAAGCCTTCAAATGTAGGTAGTATTACTACCCTCTCCATAAGGGTGGTTAGGATGAAATGGACTAGTGTGTATAAGCAGTTTCTAACACAGTTTCAAACATGATAGCTACAGGAGAGGAGGGGGTTGAGAAGGAAGTGTGATTGGTATGGTAATGGTAGTATGAAAACCAGGTAGGAAAAAAATTGACTGCGCATCCTTCTGTTTCCCTTGCACCCCTGGCCCAGCTTTATAGAAAGGGCACTACAAAAAAATAAAAGCTGGAACTATCAGTCCTGCTGTAGCTTGGATTAAACTCTGTGGTTTTGAAGTGTGTGAAGGGGAAAAACCACTTTGGCATTAATCCATTGTCCACACAAAAAGGTATGAAAGAGGAATTGGTGAGGGAACTGTTAAATGTGCAAAAGATATATATACCATTGGATGCAGTGGCTATTGGATAGAAGGCAAAGGTTTAGCCGCCTTTCCCTGCCCTTAAATTCCCCAACAAGGCAGGAAGGGAGTGTAAACGGATAATCTGTGATAAGAGAACAGGAACTGGGTGAAGGGGAAGTGCTTCTGCTGGTAATTTTCTATCACAGAGGACAAAGGAAGGCCGTAGAAAGGATATCATAAAGGAATTTCTCTGGTTGAGATGGAATCACAGTCACCTCATGTACATGGTATAAAAATATGCAAAGGTTATTTCTGTGAAAGAAATCAAGACAATGAGTAGTTTAAAAAAAAAGCTTCCTTGCTAGGGTAAATAGAATTATGTTGATTTAAACTAGATGTAATTTACACTCACAGTAACTGATGTCTTTAGGAAAGTCTCAAGGTATAGAAGCAGTGAAATATTAACTTGCAAGTACATTCCTCAGAAGAGCAGCTAACCTAGATGTGTTCTGTCTAAGCTATAGTTCGTTGTTGTTCAGTCGCTAAGTCCTGTCCAACTCTTTGCAACCCCATGGACTGCAGCTGGTCAGGCTTCTCTGTCCATCACTGTCTCAAATTCATGTCCAATGAGTTGGTGATGCTATCTAACCATCTCATCCTCTGCCATCTCCTCCTCTTGCCCTCAATCTTTCCCAGTATCAGGTCTTTTCTAATGAGTTGGCTCTTCACATCAGGTGGCCAAAGTATTGGAGCTTCAACTTCAGCGACTGTCCTTCCAATGAAAATTGAGGGTTGATTTCCTTTAGGATTGACTTATCTCCTTACTGTCCAAGGGACTCTCAAGTGTCTTCTCCAGCACCACAATTGGAAAACATCAGTTTTTCAGTGCTCACATCAGTACATGACTACTGGAAAAAACCATAGCTTTGACTATGTGGATCTTTGTTGGCAAAGTGATGTCTCTGCTTTTTAACACGCTGTCTAGGTTTGGCATAGCTTTTCTTCCAAGGAGCAAATGTCTTTTAATTTCATGACTGTCATCACCATCCGCAGTGATTTTGGAGCCCAAGGAAATAAAATCTGCCACTGTTGTACTTTTTACAATTAATGAATATGTATTGAAGCAAAAAGACTTGGCCTTTCTGTTCCATTCTCTAGTTTGGCAGGTACTGGATGGCAACTATTGTTTTTTATTTCTATAAACTCTAACGAGAGCTTAACTGTACTCCTCTGATAGGCAAAGAGAACAGGTAGTCAGAAGCAAGAATAAATATCTATAATGACTCATTAGGAAAAAAAAATACTTGCTAATGCTTTTCAATCCCTACCTGTCTTCCAAATTGTTGGCTCACTGTCACCTGATTTCTCGACATGGATTTTCCAATCTAAGTTTGGTAAAAGCTGATGAGTCCTTGGACGGGAGCCCTTGTACTTTCTACTACTCAGTTCATTTTTTCAGTTCACTTCAGGCCCTCAGTCGTGTCCGACTCTTTGCGACCCCATGGACTGCAGCACGCCAGGCTTCCCTGTGCATCACCAACTCCCGAAGTTTACTCAAACTCATGTCCATCATGTCAGTGATACCATCCAACCATCTCATCCTCTGCCGGCCCTTTTTCCTCCCACCTTCAGTCTTTCCCAGCATCAGGGTGTTTCCAATGAGTCAACTCTTCGCATCAGGTGGCCAAACCATTGGAGTTTCAGCTTCAGCATCAGTCCTTCCAGTGAACACCCAGAACTGATCTCCTTTAGGATGGACTGGTTGGACTGGTTGGATCTCCTTGCAGTCCAAGGGACTTTCAAGAATTTTCTCCAACACCACAGTTCAAAAGCATGAATTCTTCAGCACTCAGCTTTCTTTATATTACTTAAATAATAATACAGCAGCTTCTCAGAGTGAGCAGCAAAGAATACTTTCAACTCAGCTGAAAGTTACGTTAGCATTGAATTTTTTTCTGACATTCATATACCCCCTCAAAAATCAACTTGATTAGGACTTTCTGCACCTCAGTTTCATTATCTTTTAAAGAACCTTTTAGCCTATCCCAGGTTCATTTAGGAACCATCACTATAATAAAATAACAGTCTAGGCTCATCTCTCCTATTAAACAGTTACCTTGAGACCTTCCCAAAAGTTATTTACTTATTTGAAATCTAGGCCAGTGTTTTTCAAATTACCTGTGAGAATCACCTGTTTTTTGTTTTTAATTTCCAAGCCATCACCAACAATGGTGTACATATAAGAAATATAAGAAAAATTCATTACTTGTAAAATATAAGAAAAAGTATAAGAAATATAAACTGTTCATTAAAATATAAGAAAAAGTAATTACTAGGAAAATGAATTTAAGAATAGCCAAAAGCGTGTAAAATACAGTCCAAGTTTTTTTCTTATATTTCAGTTCAGTTCAGTTCAGTTCAGTCGCTCAGTCATGTCCGACTCGTCGCTACCCCATGAACTGCAGCACGCCAGACCTCCCTGTCCATCACCAACTCCTGGAGTTTACCCACACCCATGTCCATATAGTTGGTGACGCCATCCAACCATATCATCCTCTGTCGTCCCCTTCTCCTCCTGCCTTCAATCTTTCCCAGCATCAGGGTCTTTTCAAATGAGTCAGTTCTTCACATCATGTTGCCAAAGGATTGGAGTTTCAGTTTCAACATCAGTCCTTCCAATGAACACCCAGGACCGATTTCCTTTAGGATGGACTGGTTGGATCTTGCAGTCCAAAGGACTCTCAAGAGTCTTCTCCAACACCACAATTCAAAAGCATCAATTTTTCAGTGCTCAGCTTTCTTCACAGTCCAACTGTCACATCCATACATGACCACTGGAAAAACCATAGCCTTGTCTAGACAGACCTTTATTGGCAAAGTAATGTCTCTGCTCTTGAATATGCTTTCTAGGTTGGTCATAACTTTCCTTCCAAGGAGTAAGCATCTTTTATTCCATTGCTGCAATCACCATCTGCAGTTTTTTGGAGCCCAGAGAAATAAAGCCAGCCATTGTTTCTCCTGTTTCCCCATCTATTTGCCATGAAGTGATGGGACTGGATGCCATGATCTAAGTTTTCTGAATGTTGAGCCTTAAGGCAACTTTTTCACTCTCCTCTTTCACTTTCATCAAGAGTCTGTTTAGTTCTTCCACTTTCTGCCATAACGGTGGTGTCATCTGCATATCTTAGGTTATTGATGTTTCTCCCGGCAATATTGATTACAGCTTGTGCTTCTTCCAGCCCAGTATATGCAGATGTACTCTGCATATAAGTTAAATAAGCAGGGTGACAATATACAGCCTTGACGTACTCCTTTTCATATTTGGAACCAGTCTGTTGGTCCATGTCCAGTTCTAACTGTTGCTTCCTGACCTGTACACAGGTTTCTCAAGAGGCAGGTCTGGTAGTCCCATCTGTCTCAGAATTTTCCACAGTTTATTGTGATCCACACAGTCAAAGGCTTTGGCATAGTCAATAAAGCAGAAATAGATGTTTTTCTGGAACTCTTGCTTTTCGATGATCCAGTGGATGTTGGCAATTTGATCTCTGGTTCCTCTGCCTTTTCTAAAACCAGCTTGAACATCTGGAAGTTCACAGTTCACATATTGCTGAAGCCTGGTTGGAGAATTTTAAGCATTACTTTACTAGCGTGTGAGATGAGTGCAATTGTGCAGTAGTTTGAGCATTCCTTGGCATTGCCCTTCTTTGGGATTGGAATGAAAACCAACCTTTTCCAGTCCTATGGCCACTGCTGAGTTTTCTAAATTTGCTGGCATATTGAGTGCAGCACTTTGACAGCATCATCTTTCAAGATTTGAAATAGCTCAACTGGAATTCCACCACCTCCACTAGCTTTGTTCATA